GAATTAAAAATGAAAATAAATAATAAAGAAAATGACTACATATTAACTCATATGAGCTTAGTATACTGTGTCTAGCTTACATTTGATTTACCTATTACAATAGTCCCTTTACAGTTACTGCTATCATAAAAATACACTTTATATGTAGGTTTTAAATTCTACAAAAGACACATTTAATGTCCAAAAACACATTTTTTTTATCAGAATGTATATTTTACTCTCTGTCTGTTTAGCGTGCATGCGCGCAGCAGCGCTCGTTGATCTCGCGTGCCTCGCCCACTCACTCCTGACAGCAAAATGGATATGTTTGCATGACTTTCTGACATTTACAGATGAAAAATATACCTGTGGCTTGTCAGTTATGCACTGAGGAAAACACCAAGTCTCAAATGCATTAAATGGCACAGATATTCGCTGTTTTTCATGGTGAATCGAAATTTGATCCATGATCGACATTAAGGTCTGCCTAAAGAATAAGCGTGCACAAATTAGTGAGATTGTGTGAATTTAATTTTTCGTTAATGGAACCGCTTTAGCCCTGAGTGATTTGTTAGGTTATTTCAAGTCAGGTTTTGGACTTTAATCCCAGTCTTTCCTCGGGTCTCCGTAGTGTTGTGATACGTCATATTCACGCAGCAGCAGCAGTGATGAGAGAACGCGCTTGAGAAACAGTTTAGAGAGGAGAAATCAATCTACATATAAAATATTGGTCACTTTCTAAAGAATAAAAGTATAGCACATCCACTAGTAATTATATATAAATGAATCGGTTTTTACCAATGCAAATATGTTAGAAACGATGCATCGCGATATAAATGGCAATTTGTAGCCGATGCACACTTTTTAAACCGATGCATCGCATCGTTAACTTTTTATGCCGATGCACCGAGCGAATCGGGGAATCTTCCCATCCCTACACTGAAGACTAGGGTAATGACTGCTGAAAATTCAGCTTTGCCATCACAGGAATAAATTAAATTTTAATGTAAACTAAAATAGAAAACAGCTATATTAAATTGTAATAATATTTCACAATATTACTGTATTTTTTATCAAATCAATTAATTTATAATATAATATTACTAGTATTTAGTTTAAAGAAAAGTTATAACATTTGTATTATTTTACATGGTATTTACTAAAGCAATTACTTTATGAAAAAGGGAACCTCGTTAAAAAATAAACATGTAAAAAATTGTGCTTTGCCAACTTCTCTCTGCAATCCAGAAAATTCTCAGCACTGTCAAAACAAAAGGCTCTCTTTAGACACTAATCGGCCAAACAGGAAAACTTCTGCCAATGCTGTTAATTAAAAAATGTATGTAACAGTCGACCACTGAATGTAAGCATCTCTTATAACCATGAAACCTGATTTTGGTTGTCTGTGAGTTCTGTCTTGTTATCTTCACTCCTCTGACGTTATTGACTAGCTGTTAAGGTCGGGGACAAGTGTGTCACAAAGCTGTCCTCCTCCTGATGCGAA